CGAAATAGTTTCTGAATACAACGAAATAGTTTCTGAATATGACGAAATAGTTTCTGAAGACCAGTTTCTGAATACAGTGCAGTTTCTGAATCCGACTTTGTTCGTGAGATGGTACAGCACCGAGACGGAGTGGACCCACATCGTCGGTGCTTTGGACGCCGGCTGAGTCGAGTGAGACGGTGTCGACCAGTCAGCCCTTCTGCCTTTTCTCAACACATCTCACGACCCAGGGACTCTCAGTCAGACCAAAAGCGACACAGGACCCTTCGATCACCGCGATCGCGCAGTCGAATCCCACGCCCCAGGAAGACCTTGTGGCCATGTGTCGATCCCCTTGGGACCCACACTCTTCCAGCCAGCCACTCATGTCTTGCCTGGTGCAGCTTTGCTGATTTGTCCACACTGATCCACGCGATCTTGGCACCCTTCTCATCTGGCTGTGGGTCACCCACAAGTACCCCTTTGTGAACATCCGAAGAGTAAAATAGAAAAGTCGAGAACTTCAACCTAAACACTCTGGCAAAACAATTTGAGGGCCTGTCGGCTAAGAGAAAAACAACTGGCGCTGCAAGATACGAGTCATTGGAATTGTCTTGGCGCGTAATGCTCTTAAGGGTGGTTGAAGCACATTCCTTCTTGAAGCAGCCAAAACATGTCTAAAGTACCTGCCCAAGGGTGGTACAGGACCTCTGTCCTGATTGTCCTCTTCAAGTGCAGAGGGAAACAACTCAACCGATCCGTCCAGAGGATGAACACATGTTTTGAGAAAATCGCCATGGTCCCTTTGAATAAGTTGGGCTCTTTGGCAGCCATCAATTTCACTATGTCAAGCAGCTCTCTGATTTGTCTGGTCCCATGTTTGCAACCGCCCTGCAAATGATCAGAACGCTGAAAACCTAGCAGCTATCAAAAAGTGGACGCTTTAATGTTGAGACGTTGAGACTTAAACCTCGTAAGTCGATCTCTTGAAGAAAACCTCCGACAGCAGCATGCCGGTACATATGGTCATTAGTAATATAATGTATGATTGAAGCCTGATCCACCCCGCACCCTTTCTGTTTCAACCACTTCATCCCTCCATCCACGTCTCTTCTCTCCATCTCGGCTCCCCAGCAGGTTCACCCGGCAGTCTCGCTGGATCTTCCGAGGCGACAGCCCCTGGCGCGCGGAACGGGGCGGAACGGGGTCGGTGCCAGATGTGCCAGGTGCCAGAAACCAATGGGTTGTACCTTTGGATAGATTTGGGATACCGGGTATCCCCCTCTCATATCGATTCATCCACCAACTATAATAGTATAAGGCGTGCGAATCTCCGCCCAAGGCGCCGCCCCCACGCCCCCGGGCCTCGGGGATCGGCAATCGACCACCCCCGGCATCCGCCTCTGAACAAAGCCGCGGCCGGTCCGGCTCGTCGCTCCGTCCCACTCGGCGGTTGATGCATGGGTCAAGCCTGGTGAAGCTGTATGGGCCTGGGTCAAGCCTGCTTGTGTCTCCAAGCTGGGTCTTTGTCTTGGTTCTCTCCTCTCCTACTTCCGGATGTTTGACCTTGAATCCAACATGAGCGGCAGAACCGCGTACCCGCTCACGCGGTGCAGCAACCTGCATGGCATCGAGGATGTGAGACAGCTCCACTTTGCTCACAAAGCCACGTTGCTTCTGGTCCAGCACGTGGAAGATCTGCATGCGGGACTGCTCGGGTCAACTTGCGCTGCCAAAGGGTCCATTCGTTTCTATTTCAGACCGCGGGGTTAACATGGTGAGATGGCACGTTCGAAGAGTTCACTCTCTTATCAAAACGTTTGAAAATGATGCTAACGATATCCACTTGGGAGTAGTAGCAGTGTAGTGCCCTGAGCCTTATCTCGATAAGTTCAACATCTCCCATAGGCTACTCCCCATGCTCCAACGCTTGACATAGCGCTGGGACGAGGTGAGTCAGGTCGCCTCATGAAGCAGCCCATCTCTTCGATCTCCCATCTCGGCGCCTCAAGGGCAGACCAGCGCTCGCTGGCGCGCCCGTCGACCCTCAACAGGGGCCGCCCCGAAAACCACGTGGACCGAGCGACTCGGGGCGAAGAAGAAGAAGCCAAACGACGACGTTTGGGGCTTAAAACACCAACCAAAGGTGTTCCACCAGCGTGGTTTCACTGCCATTGGAGATGTGGACCTCCTCCTCGTCTCTCGACGAGGCTGCCTCAAACGTCAAATTGGCTGGAGCTTCACAACAATGGTCTGACGGGGTGTCACTGCATATGTTCTTCTGGCAGTGCTTGAGAAGAGATGAAGAGGATCACCTTTGAAATGACAAATGGTGAACCTCCCTCGAAAAATAACAAAGGACTTGACCTTTTTCGGTTGACATCACAGTCAATACATGTTGATGTTAATAATAACAATACATAGTAATAACTGTAATAATAGTACTGTGTAACAATTGTGTAACCCTTACCCATGGAACCCCCTACAAGAACTCCAGCCTTTTCAAAACACCCACACACATATCACTCACCCAATCACCCAGGGCCTTCGGCCACAACGCCCGGGCCGCCGCCCGCCGCAGGGGTTGCAAGACTCGTCCGTGGACTGGTGGGATGTTTTATTCTTGATGCCTAGCTGTATAGCCGATCTGATCTTCTTTTGACCTTATTCTTGGGCCTTAGCTGTGGTGCTAGGATCGACGTTACGGTTGCTGTGTAAGCTGTTTGGTGAAGCTTGAGACTTGACACTTGAATGGGTAGAAAGAGGTCCACTGAATCAGCCCCATGTCTTTTCACCATGCTGCTTTCATCGGATGGACTGATTGGGGCAGCGCTGCATGCATCGATTCAAAGAGATCGGGAAGAGATTCGGCACAGCAATCACCAGGAGTTGTTCAGAACAACCAAAAGTTGCATGGCATTGCTGGGGGGTCCGCATGAGCATGCCGGTCATCGTGGTTCCTTAAATTACATTGAATTCTGAGCACCTGCTTGTGCCACTAATGCTTGGAGTCCTGCACTATATGTTTTTCAGCAGGTCATGCAGGACTTGTATGAGCACTAGCTTCACCCCCGCTTCCCATTCCATCAAAGCAAACAGCTGGCCCAGCTGTTTTGGTCTTTTTCCCGACGTCGGCCCATGTTGAACCTCTACGGGCTGGCAGTCGCACAGGTGCAGAATCGGAAGCATCTTCAAGACTTCAAGATGTTCCTTTCCTTTGCTAGGCCCTGCCGGCCCTGTTACCCTGAAAGTTGACCAAGCTGATTCAATCTGTGCCTAGCCATGCGAATCTTCGAGGGTGGTACTTGTGAGAACGCACCATGTCATGTGCACCATGTCATGTGCACCATGAAGTAGCAGTGAGCCAGTGTTCCCAAGGTAAACAGCTCAGTATCTTTTTTCGCAGGAACAGGCTTCACAAGGTGGATTTCTCTCCAAACATGTTCTGACTGTCTGATTTTGTTAGAGTTTTCATCCTTCAAAGCCCGGAAAAAAACATCTCCCCTAACGACCAAACCAATCGATGATTTGGCCCTTCCGAGTTTTCAGACCGTCTTTGGCAGCGAGAAGACCACCAAACCGAGTGCGCCTTAAGAGGTTGCTTGATGTTTTTGGACGGATGCGAAGAGTTGCTTGAACAAACTGCTTGTGAAAGGATGCTACATGCAAAAACATCAAAAATTAACTCGTTGTCATCGGAGTATTGGCCCAATCGTTGCTTCCAGCGGCCAAAACATCTGCTCTGTACGTCCCCATCTGCAGAGGTTCGCCCCTCGAGCACACGAGAGTATGGCCTTCCTGGAGTGAGGAAGGAAGGATCTTCTTGATCATTTCTAGCTTCATCAAACATCCGTGTCTGTGGCATTTTCCCACCCCTTTCCCTCACTCCAAGGTCGTCTACCAGTCGTCCCATCACCCATGCAGCGCGGAGCGATGGGGCGGCAAGCCCTTTGAGGTCCAACGGGAGTCTCACTCCATCGGAAAGGGCACAAAACCGAGGTCCCCGCAGGGATAATTTGGACTAATTTCTTGGGATCCAAAGGAGAGTCCCAAGAAACCACCAGAACCAGAGAGGTTGGTCCTATATACATGGGTGACAGGTCTCAAAAGGGTGGCGAAAGTGTCGGAATGAAAACCAACAAACCACAAGCTCAATGGCTCAATTCAAGCACTTAAGAAATCCGACCGTGAATCTTGCCTTTTTGGAACAAGAAAAAGCAGCTGGCCGCCGGACTTTGAGACCTTCCCCCAGATCAGCAGCTGAGACAAACGCCCCTCATCCCGCTGCCCCCGAGCTCATCCCGTTGGTTCCACGGGATTGGCAAAGCAGCCCTCTGCAATCTCTTGTGCCACACAAATGGCCTCAAGTTTGGAGCCGTTCTCCGGAGCGGTCGCCGTTATAGGAGGTAGGGCGGGCGCCAGCCGGAAAAAAGGAAAGCAAGATAGAAAGGGGGTCGCGGAGGGTCTTGAGAGGAACATGGAACATGTCGAAGAACTTGACTTACCACTACAGTTACAACACATTGCAACAGAATATGTGATAAATACTATATTAAGATTATTAAGGATCTATTCCAGGCCCTTCAAGGGGTGGTGAATGGACACCCCGAATCACGGCTAAGGGGCTATAAATAGACACCCCGACAGGAGGGTCCTGGTTAGGTAGTATATCAATATGGTAAAAACCTTATCCATGACCTACGCATGCGTGCGAAAGCCTTTGCCGAGCTCCCCGGCCGCGCGCCAGAAGGTCGCGGGGTCCAGGAACTCGTGGCACTTGAAGTCCTTGACCTGAGGTCCAAGGTGTCAACCCCTTCGTGGTGAGTGAGTTGGTGGACATGTATTTGATCTAATCTCAGGGTTTGGCTATAGGAGCGACCCAAAAATGTGGATCCCATGCTAAACTAGGTGGTTTTGGGCGGAGGGCCTTTGACGACTTTTTCGCGACGTCCAACCCGAAGTCCAATGTTCCCAAACTGGCGTGACGAATTGGCGGCTCCCTGTGTATGCGGCAATCAGGATGCACCGGTCGAATGTCAAACCCACAGCCTGCCATTCCATCCCATGTCAACCATGTTCGAAGGGCGAAACGTTTGGCAAAACGTTTCGTTCACCGGTGCACGGTGCAGGCAGGTCCAAGACATTTCTTGAAAATCAGCACGATGATAGGGCGCGCACCTGTGTACAGAGTCCTCACCAAGTGGAAGAAAATATGTTCAAAATGGTTCGAAGAAAACCCCATTGGTGCTTTGTGAGTTGCTAGGAACTGCCATGAGTAAGCACAGTCCAGTTCTCGCAGGGAACCGGTGTCCCAGGGGTTCCAAACCACCCAAACAACCACCCGAACGCTCGAACAATCACTCAAAAACATGGACCTTCTGATCAAGAAAGACCTCCAAAAGACCACCTCCCCATCGGCCCCAAAGGCGACCCCTTCGGAGGACCCGTCGGAGGACCCACCCCGAACCCTGAACGAACCCCGAAGTTCGGCCCGTCCGGACGCACCAAATGCCGCCCTCGTTGTCCATCCGGAGCTGGATCATGTATGCCGCCCGCGACCAGCCCGGGTCCCTGGAACGGGTCAGGTTGGAAGGAGCGAAGCGTGGAACGAGCTCAGCACGTGGGAGACGACGAAGCAAAAATGTCCAGCTGTTAGGGTCCTCGTCCTTTCTGGGGGGTTGCAATTGGGTGGCCGGGAACCGGCGTTGTCTTCGCTTGCATTCCAACGGTTCATCGATCAAACTCAAATGATCTCAGATGATCAACGGTGCCGGCGTCCTCCAACTCTTTCAAGACTCCATTGATTCACCCCATCATAGAATGTGCATCAAAGGTCATGGCTTCATCCCAGTCGAAGCTCATAGGTTGATGGAGTGAAGCTTAACCCCGAAGTTTTTACTGTGGGGTCTTCAACGATCAGAACTGATCATGGATTTAAACCACCTGCCCTTGGACAAACTCTCAAACATCCATCCTTCCTCAATGTGTGTAATCCCCCACTATAACCACTCCTGCCCAGACCACGGCCTAAAAAGGACCTATATCGTTGCTGCGCCGATTGGGAACCTCTCCCTCTCTCTCCACCGCCGACTACGTTCGTGCTCCGCGCCTCCCCCGAGCAGTTCTGAAGAGCTGCGAGAAGTTCCCGTCCGTGCCAATCTGCGCCGCCCGGCCACGCGGATCGGAGAAAGGACCAGGGATTGGAAAAAGATGGGAAAGAAGGGACACCTTCCAAGCAAAGAATCTGCTGTGCCAAAAGAGGATTGTGTGTGTGCGAGGGTCTGGCAAAAACCGCTGGATCAGCGCTGAGGACATGAACAACAAGGCTATCGCTTTTGCAAGCTTCAGCCAACTTGTTTATGGTGTGTTGAGGAAGAGAGGGAACCTATAGTTTCAGGCGGAGGGTGGAATTTGTGCAATCTACAGTATGCTGAAAAAAGCCCGGGGCCACGAAGATTGTGATTCAATATAGGATAATATAGGCTACAAATACATAAGGAATAAAGAACTATACCACTTGGACTAAATGTTCACTGCCATTTTGGTGGACTCGGGTACATTCTCATGACTAATAGATACTGAAAACAAATTCATGATGATTCATGATCAGTTTAATCGGTTTGTATTCCTTCACACCTTCCAACTATCACGAGACCCTGTCGAGCCGGGCTGGACGCTCGACGGGCGCGCCATGCCGCCGATGT